TAAACAGGGTCCTGGGACATTAAGACCAGTTTAAATAGGGTCCTGGGACATTAAGACCAGTTTAAACAGGGTCCTGGGACATTAAGACCAGATTGAACAGGGTCCTGAGACATTAAGACCAGATTGAACAGGGTCCTGAGACATTAAGACCAAATTGAACAGGGTCCTGAGACATTAAGACCAGTTTAAACAGGGTCCTGGGACATTAAGACCAGTTTAAACAGGGTCCTGAGACATTAAGAGCAAATTGAACAGGGTCCTGAGACATTAAGACCAGTTTAAACAGGGTCCTGGGACATTAAGACCAGTTTAAATAGGGTCCTGGGACATTAAGACCAGTTTAAATAGGGTCCTGAGACATTAAGACCAGTTTAAACAGGGTCCTGAGATATTAAGACCAGTTTAAACAGGGTCCTGGGACATTAAGACCAGTTTAAACAGGGTCCTGAGATATTAAGACCAGTTTAAACAGGGTCCTGAGACATTAAGACCAGATTGAACAGGGTTCTGGGACATTAAGACCAGTTTAATCAGGGTCCTGAGATATTAAGACCAGATTGAACAGGGTCCTGGGACATTAAGACCAGTTTAAACAGGGTCCTGAGACATTAAGACCAGTTTAAACAGGGTTCTGGGACATTAAGAGCAGGTCCAGACAGAGTCCTGGGACATTAGGATCTGGTGTAATTCAATATAAGTTCATGAGATGTAACTATTTTTAGTGGAAGTTGGTGAAATATTTTAATTTGGGTGTGAACCTAACTTCCCTCTGAGATCAATAAAGTATTTTTGAACTGAGCTGAACGTTTCAGACCTCTGCAGAAGAGCAGCAGGTCGAAGCACACAGCTCCATCYTCCATCATGTTGGTTTCTGCTCACCATTTTGACGACCTCAGGGTAGGCCTGCTCCGTCAGGTAGCCTCGGCTGACAGTCACATAGTCCACCAGCTCGTTAAGTGTGGAACGCTTGTACTCCTTCATCTTCAGGTCCGACAGCGTGTCCATGAAGTCAAAGACGGTACAGCACTGCTGCAGCTTCTTCAGGAACAGCTCCGGCTGCTCCGGTGACGGCACGTCTGTCAACACCAACAGAAAGAGCCGAGTTAAAACGCTTCAAAGTTTCATTTCACCAGTGTGCACAGCTGAGGCTGTGTGTGCGAGCTAAAATGATGTTAGCGTTATTGCTAACACGGGCTAATGTTCAAAGCAGTAACAATCTTTCCTGCAGTGCTCGCTGTTCCAGTCCTTGACACGCTGCAGGTGTGTGTCTGAGACAGGCTTTCACACCTGAACACAAGAGCTGTGATGTAAGCATTTTACCAAGCATTGTACCATTTTAACCAATAGGAAAATTCCACTGCAGRAGCCACTGTTCAACCCATAGAGGGCAGCACTAAGATGTTTTTAAACTAAACAGCTAAACAAATTTACACAAAAATGTCAAAATTTGCACAGAAATATTTAGATATAACTCCTGAGGAAAATTTGAGACAGGTTATTTACAAAAATAAAGTTGATTATGGAGTTAGTTACACATTAAAGCTGCCATCAGCTGATGCTCAGATTCTGTGCTGGTGAGGACTCTCACCTACTACCACACAAAGGTTGAGTTCAGAATCTGTAAAAATGACTAATAAAACATCATTTTATTTTGTTTTGACCAGTAAACGTTCCCCTAGTTTCCTCACATACAATAAGTAAAACAAATGCAGCCAGGGTCAGGAGCACTTTAAAAAAATTTTTAAAAAAAGAACAATCTCCCTCTTTTACCTTCTTCTGAGGCCCAGACACATCACAAGAACTTTGAGTTAGTCCCTGGTCTACGGAGACCCTGATGTTCTGTCCTGGTTTGAGATTAACGTTGATTTTATTCCGTTCCACAGATTTGGAGCAGCAGAGGCTCCTCCTTGGCAGGAGAAGAGAGGATAAACTGCTGCTTAATTAACGCTGAGAGCAAAGCCTAATGAGTCTCAGCATGACAGAGACAAGCTGGAGTTTGACCACAGGAGCCCCGAGAACTGAGTTCATTACATAACAGACAGCTAACAGCTACATGAGGAGCATCAGAGCAGCTAACAGCTACATGAGGAGCATCAGAGCAGCTAACAGCTACATGAGGAGCATCAGAGC